AGGGTCCAATGACCCTGCCTATATCTCCTTTAATTAAAGAATACAATAGTCAACAAGTCCAATTATGATGACCTTCTGTAAGGCATATAAACACAAGGTAAAGAGAAGCAATTGGTACACAACCCCCAACATAATCATTTAAGGAAAACTGTGTTATAGCCCTGTTTAGACTTTAATAAATTCTTTTAATTACATTTATAAACAAATTTACCAAGTAATTAATATTCTACCTCATATATATGAACAATTAATCTAAATATATTATTATACTGTATAAATTTTGAGATGCCCTTGTAAGCCTTGAAGCAGGTTTTAAACAACCAAGTCTCCTTTAAAAGTTTAGAGAGATTTTACTTAGAATTTGATATCTAGTAAATTATTTAATAATAGTTCTTTTAGTATTAAACATAAGTCTGTACATTTATAATGGTCTCATATAATAAATACTATTGTTAGACATAATGTCATGACAAACCAGTTTTAAAACCAAGACTGATTTTTCTTGTTCCAAAGGAGAAAAGCACAGAGTCATATTTGAGGCAGCTTAGTTTCCAAGGATGCAAAGCATCCCTCCCCAAACAGTATGTATCTGCCTGCATACAGAGCAGTGCTGTAGGAAACAGAGGGAAAAGGACAAGGCCAAAAGGATAAGATAGGAAGACTAGTCCCAGAATTTATTTCCAGCAATGAAGATGAGTTAACATATTAGATCAAATCTATAACCAACAGGAGTTTAATTTTCTCAAACCACTTTTAAGCCTTTAGAGTTCTGAAAGCAAAATAAACCAGACCAAGAATGTCAAAACCAAAATACCTCCAAAGCGAGCAAACCAAAGAGATATTTTAAAACAAATATTATGAAAGCAAACCCAATCCAAAAGGTATGCAACAAATAAGAACCTTAAACAACCAGTTCAGCCAATAAAATTTATTTAGGGTTTTTGATGGAAACATATGAAGACAATAATCATAGACATACATGACAGAATTACTTGAGATCCCAGCACAGGAGACATAACATGACATAACATGACATAACATAACATTTTAATAACATAATTTAATTAAAACTAGGTGCATCCAAAACATGACCCGAAATCAGATAAGTTGTTCAATATACACTCTAACTGGGTAGCACCCTGAGACACACTCCCACCCATAACGAACACAGATACAAGACCAAAACTCAGAATAAGACAAGCACAGACAAATAACATCAACCAGATTGCCATCAAATCCAGGTCCCAAAAGACAAGCTTTTGGGCTCACGGCCAGGTGGGTCCGGGGATGTCTCCTCCGAGATTCACTGTGTCCAGCTTCCCACCTAGTTTCTCTGATTAGAGCCCAGAACCAGATGGCGAAAGTCGCTGGCTAGCCAAAATCAAAAGAGAAACCAAAACGAAAGCGGTTTCTTGAGTGCTCTCTTACCTTGCAGGTGTTGTGGAGGGAGAAACCGGAGGTCTGACTGGGGAAGCAGAAGCAGCCAAGGCTGATGCAGGTCCCCTGCTGGGGAGTCCTCAGAATACTGCTGGGCAGCTTCCTTCTCAGGGAGTTTCCCGAAGCTGCCCGGCCCAGGAGTCCTCCGGATCTCAGTGGAACCTCCAAATGTTATAGGACAGAGTTCGTAAAAAAATCACCAACACCACTTTAAGAAAAGCAGCAAGGTAAATTTTAATTTTCGACTGGCCGGGCTGTCTATCTTGGGAGTAGAAGCAGCCCTGATGATTGTTAAGTCAAAGTTTTTATAGGATTACAGA